GCCAGTTTTCCCCCAGTTTATGTACTGAGCATGATGTCACATGTGGTGGAATGTCCCTTTAGCCAGTTTGGGTCAGCCCTGGCTGGCTGTGCTCCCTCCCAGCTTCTTGTGCACCTCCAGCCGCCTCAGTCAGGCATGGGAAGGAAGCTGAAAAGTCCTTGACCTGCACCTCCAGCCTCCTCAGTCAGTAGAGCATGGGAAGCTGAAAAGTCCTTGACTGGTGTAAGCACTAGTTAGCAACAACTGAAACATCTGTGTGTTATCAACATTATTCTCATACTAAATCCAAAACACAGCACTGTACCAGCTACTAGGAAGAAAATTAACTCTATCCCTGCCAAAACCAGGACAAGATCTTACACAATTTTATGTTGTGAGTGCTTGAGATACACAATACAGCACTTAGGTTTAATGGGCAATGCTAGTTCATGCTTGAATGTTTTGGTAAGCTGGGAGATTGCAAAGTGCGTAGTGTTTACTAGGTATCCAGATAAGTATCAACTTTGATATTCTGTGCATCTTTTCTGTTGTTATTGATATCTTTAGGGTTTTTGTGTTACAAAGTGGGGTCTGTTCTGCTTAACACTCTTATTTTGCTAGTTGCTTTTAGAATGGAGTGATTTATTTCTATTACAGTTAGCTGTTTTTATTTGGAGTGGGCTTCATAATTTAGGTTACCATAACTTATGGTTGCTGTATAATCACATGACCAGGGCAGCATTCATCACACACTGAAATGATAGTACTCCACATCATAAATGGGTGTACATGTGTAGCGCATATCTTTGGGGCTGGCTGTGCATCACTTCACATGACCAACTATATGCAGGTCCTCCTTCTTCCTTCCTTTCCCATCACCTAATGGGCCTGCTGTAGTCATGGCATGTTCTTGTTATGTACCTGTTAGATGTCTTAAGATAAGGTATGTATCTTGCCTTCAGGACTTTAACATTGTTCTGCATCTTGCTTTCTAGAGTTCGATGGGTTTTGGCAAGCAGGGCTGAGAAGCTTTTTATAGGTAGTAGTTTTATGCTATTTGCTATGTGAAGAGTAAATAATGGGGTAAAATATTACTCATTCCTCTTCAAACTCGAGATCCAGAAGGTTCATCTGTTTTCTTAGGCTATAATAAGAACCTTTAGTTAACATCCAACTTCACTAATTTCCATATACTGTGGCTAACTGCTTTGAACTGAAGCTCTGGGGAAGCCATTAATAGATAGTAAACTAGTTTGTCTAATCCCAGGTTCTGTTTATTATATGTGAATTGTGTAATTATGCTTAAGGTAATAAATTGCTATTAATATCCCTTAATCAAAGGTGTGTGAATGTGTTGTATATGAAAGAATACCATTTATATCTAAGTAAAGCCTTCTACCTTTTAAGGATGTTATCTGTGAAAATTCTCTGTACAGCATGTGCCAGCGTACCTCTGACTTGGTTCAGGGCCATTTAAAAGGCTTTATCCATATAAGCCTTTCACTTTTCTTTCATCTTCTCTTTTAAATGCCAAACTTTGAACAGAACTCTGTGCAATTGCATACAGCCATATATACTGTGTATTTTTTCCTTTCCAGGAAATAGTTGTTTCCACTTGATAGCAACCCTGTGATAACCAAATATCATGCATACAGTGAAATGCATATGAAGAAAATAGTATAGTGTGTGTAATTTTGAGTGTATAAAGAGAACCTGAAAAACTAAGAGCCCAAATAAATGACTGCTGGGGGGGATCATGTTGATGCCTTTAAGTTAACTCATGGGTGACTACCCATAATAAATCTGGTAGGTGTGTGATTAGTACTGAGATGTAACTGAAGGAATGATACAGCATCATATTCAAAATGCATTAGTGTAGTTGGCTGATATCTATCTGATGATAAACTCTGTGAACAAAGAACATAAATAATACAACAGGAGAAATAAATAATATCCTCGATGTTTGACATATTGCAGAATAACTTTTATATACTCCCTAATCAAAGCACTGAAAACAAGTTTTTTGGGTTCCCAGTGATGATGTTACTATGCATGCAGCTGGTGTGAGGTGTAGTTTTCAGCTGAGACTGTAACTTTGTTGCTGTTTCCATAAATTTCAGAAAAATATGCCGCAACTGCAAATGTGGCCAGGAAGAGCATGATGTCCTCACAAGCAATGAGGAAGATCGGAAAGTGGGCAAACTCTTTGAAGATACAAAATACACAACCCTTATTGCAAAGCTGAAGAATGATGGCATTCCCATGTATAAACGCAACGTAATGATACTGACTAATCCAGTGCCTGCCAAGAAGAACATATCCATCAATACTGTGACTTATGAGTGGGCTCCTCCTGTTCAGAATCAGACACTTGTAAGTCCAACCCACTTTTTCTTCATGTTCAAGGCAGGAGTTGATGGGAGATGGAGAAGTAGAGCTTACCGGAAGGATAAATTTACCTCTTGTAGTCATTCTGTGTGTACCTCTTCTTTTCATCTTCTTCAAAACTGAAAATGTGGTGCCTGTTTAATGAGTCTTCCCTGTGTCATCTTGCAGATATGGATGCTTATCTATGGAACTTCTTGAGAACTGGAGAGATGAGGTGGTTTTTAATAGCTAGGATTAAGTGTTACCTGCTAAGTCCCTGGAGTCCAATTTCTCTAACCTGCCTTTTTAGTACACTTGAAAAACTTGCATGGAGTGTGGGTGTAAAAGGAAAAAAAAAAAACACCAACCCCACAACAACTTATGTCATTGTTTAAAGTCAAGGGGAATGCTCAGTCTTGCATATAGCTTTTACTGTATATGGTAAGAACAGGGTCAGTGTTGACATCTAAAAGAGCAACTCTCTTCCAGTATGTTTTCAGCTGAAGTAGATGAGATGGTAGATAGCCTTCTGCGGATTTTGCTTCACTTTTCAAACCTTGATTGCTAATTTACTGTACTGCAGTGTTGTGTGATCTGTGCCGGAATCATGTTATCTCTGACCTAGCCCTCAAAATATCCTTTTTCAGTGAATTAATCAAACCTTGTGCATCTAAACCAACTGTTACTTAGCATTCAGTTACCACTTTGATTTTTAGGCTTGTTCTTGCAGTATTAAAACTAGAGCTTTTTTCTTTATTTAGCTAGAATTATTTCTGCAATGGGCTGTGTGCCCCAGGCAAACTATTTCAGCTTCTACTTTTTAAAGCTATACTGATGATCAGTAGTTTTAGATAGCTTTGAAGAGACAAGGTGCTGTGTAAATGTTAATTATTATTTACTCTGAGAAGTAATAATGCTATACTGTAAAAGGCTTAAAAGGAAGCCTGTCTCTTACTCTGGGAAGAAGCCAATTAATGCATCTGCTATATTTTATCTCCATCTACTGTGTTTTGGGAGCTTAATGTTTATGGAAAGAACCTTGTTTTTGACAAATTTGACTGTCGCTAACAACAGTAGAGATGATTTTAGTTGCGTGTTTGCTTAAAAGGATGGGTCTATAGTTGAAGCAGCATCTGATATCTAATTCCTCCTGGTTCAGGCTAGGCAGTATATGCAGATGCTACCCAAGGAGAAGCAGCCTGTTGCTGGCTCGGAAGGCGCGCAGTACAGGAAGAAGCAGTTGGCTAAGCAGCTGCCTGCTCATGATCAGGATCCTTCAAAATGCCACGAGCTCTCCCCCAATGAAGTTAAGCAGATGGAACAATTTGTGAAGAAGTACAAAAATGAGGCGCTTGGCGTAGGAGATGTCAAGCTCCCTGGTGAGGTGGAAACGAGAGCTAATGAGAAGAATAATGTGAACAATGGTGACAGAGGCACCTCAGCTGCCGTAGGAGCGATGGAGGACAAGTCCCCAGATCGGAAGGCATCTCAGTATGTAAGTATAAGAAAGAAAAGATAAAACAAGAAGGTGTATTACTATCCAGGTGCTCTCTTTGGTCGTTTTAACCCAATTAACTTGTTTGTGAACTTGGAATGGTGAAAACCTGGGGAGGGAAAGAAAGAAGGGGAACTGGAAAACATGGTGAATGTCTGCACAGAACCCTGGTTTTTGACTGTATTTAGTGCATTGCAGCAAACAACTTCCTAAGTGACCTTTTCATCCTCATTGCAAAAACATGTTAGCTTGGAGCTATAGTATAGCAGGGTGGCTTTTGCAGGAAAATAATCAAGAAACTTATGTAGACTTACAGACTAATTGCTACACTTTTCTCCTCTTGAAGAGTTTAGTTTAATTTTAGAAGCTTGTTTTCTCCTCTTTCTTGGAAGAGCACCAAAATTACCCACTTGACAAATTGTGTTTAAAATTAAATGAAACTAAGAAATAATAAAGTAACACCTCTCCCTCCCATGTCCAACAAGCAAAGCTGTATAACGGCTGTTTTGACTAGCTGCCTTTCCATTCAGATCTATTTTTTTTTTTCTTTGATCTATTTTCTTTGGCATCTGATTTCTGCCTTGCAATAGCTCAACAAAAAATAAGGTATGTAAAATTACCCAGTTTTCATTGATATTTCTAAAACTATTGCCTTAAAGTATTTCTGACATAACTTGCTAACTTTTGCTGTGCGTGTCTCAGCTACCGATTATGAATACGAAATAGGGGTAGGATTACTGAAGTAACATTAAACACTTCAGAGTGGCAAAAGCTCCTGTAACTTGATTTCCAGAAATGTTGCTATTATATGTGTGAATCTCAAATTATTTGTCTGCAGGTTACTTACAGAAAATGAATATACAAGTTCTAGATGGAGATAAAAGTTTGTTTGCTAACATGGTTGTAGAATATGGCTTTCAGTGTTGTTGGGGGGTGTTGTGTGCTGCTTTTGGTGTGTTTTTGTTGTTTTTTAAACTGACACAGTATATTACTTCTGATGTAAGTCATATGGAATATAAAGTTAACACTTAAGTTTTAGCTTTGAATGTGCCCACTTACCTTAAACAGTCATATGCTGTGCCATTTGGTTACCTGTAGCTACTTTCTGAAATGAATTATTAAGTTATTTTTGCCACTATCTTGTCGTGGAGATTCTAAGATACTAAAAAGTTATTTTATTGTGGCTTGATTAGGTTGCTGTCATTTTGTGTAACCCAGCCTCTCCTGCTGGGTTACTTTAGCTTCATCACAGCAATTCTTCACTTACCTCCTCGAGAAAGACCTACAAAAATACACACCTTGCATTGTACCCTGCTGGCCAGCTGGCTTGGACTGTGTGAAGTCAAGGGCAGGAGGCACTCTGTCCTCTTGAGTGTTTGTATCAAAAGGTGCTTCACTTTTACATTACACATATTTATCACTTCCAAAGTTTTTCTTTACTCGAGCACCTGAGTATACTTCCTACTGTTTAGGCCAGGCATCTCATCACTGTGCACAGTGATTTAGAAAGAGGCTTAGAAGTGTTTAATAGTGTAAGTGAACATTTGAGTTGCTTATCTATTGTTAGGTACTGAGTTTACCCGGGGCTATATAATCAGGATTTAGATATATTCTTTTATTATGTTTAGATATATTCTTTTTAAGTATTTTTTGTCTGATTTCTGCAAGACTTAGCCGAGACATAGTCTCAGCTATATGCTGTAGCATTATCTCAACTTCTTTTTTCTTTAACAGTTCAAAATAAAACAATACAGAGAAGATCTCTTAAATACCTTGCAGAAGAATTGCCATCCCTGTCTACACTTTTTTCTATCCATTAGTGCTGCATCTTTGTTCTCCACATTTTCTCGTACGTTGTCTTTCAAACTGAGTCTGAAAGCATGTATTCCTGAGGGTGTGGTAAATAAAATGAATTTTTCAAGAGATTCTGTTATAGGAATGGATTGCAATTCTTTTAAACATGACTTTTTTAAAAAAAACAACAAAACAAAAACCAGGTCTCCACTATTAATGTAAATATACCAATAAAAATTTCCTCTGTTTTAAAAAAAAAAAATCCATTTTACTGTGATTAAAAGCTGAATAACAGAAAAATTGATATTAAGCATATTTTCATCTTGTAAAGAAGCAAATCTTTATGTGCCTTTTAACCACCTAGGCTGGGGATGTTGTAAATGGTAGGTAAACTGTCTTGCCCTGATTTGGGTCCATACAACTACTAAACCTTCCAATTGACTCCTCTTGGAGTATGAGATCTAAAGTAGAAAGAAGAGTCAAAAAGCTTTATATATGTATATATTTACACTTCCCCTTTCGTTAGTTCCCCTTTCATTCTGTTCCAAGCTGTTCTTCCTCCCTTTCTGATGTCTATGTATATTTTGAAATTGCTTGTCTGAAACTAGTGTGGGGATCTGATCAATATGCCTTACAGCTGAGACATTTAAAAAAAAAAAAAACAAAACAAAACAAACCAGATATGTATACACACAATTGAAAACCGAGTCCATTTGTGGCTGGGCTTGTAGTGATGTGAATCATAGAGAAAACCTTCCCAGGGTGTTCAGGCCAGTCCACAGACCAACTGGAGCGCAGGAAATGCCAAACTGGTGATTAAACTGTAGAATTAAAAATTTCGTTTTAGTAACATAAACCACCTGCATTTTTTGACTTGATGACAAAACCCTCTCTGTAAGCAGGTATAGGGCAGGAGACTGACTATGAACATTTTGGAACTATTTGTAGTGTAGCTGTGTTCATAAACTTTGTAGTCCCTTTTCCATAATCACTCTCCCCGTCCCTTTTCCATAATCACTCTCCCCATCCTAAGATCATTAATCACAGACTATTGGACAACAGCCATGAGTGACAAGCATCCCTAGAACAGTTTTAAACAGAATGAGTTTGAAATATTCACAATTTTTTTTTCTCACTAATGATGCAGATATGGCTTGATCTTCTCACGACCTATAAGTACAGCCATTTTCTTGTCATGTGTTCTAGTCCATAGTCTACTCAGTCAGCTTTGGAGGCTTATTATTCTTTCCTTATTCTTGAGTATGCAAGGCTCATAGAACATAACATGAATTTTAATTGTGGTGTTTGTTTTTTTAAAAACTGGACTGTAGTTGCGAGAATGTGAATATGGCAAAATACAACAATCCATTTAAGTAGCACTGGTGCTATGTCAGTAGAATGTACAACATTTTGAATTGCTTAGTTAAACCTGTACTGTGGCATCATGTCACACCACTGTTTGATCATGGGAGTAAACTAATGCTTTAATTTCAGCCTGGGAAGGTGTGATTTATTAAATATGTCAGTAATATGTAATTGCTATAAATGTACCTCTTTGAAGACCTATTTAACTTGGTAATAACTTCTTTCCAGTCCTGCTATCGCTGCAAACTGAACATGAAAGAAGGTGACCCAGCTGTCTATGCAGAACGTGCTGGATATGACAAATTGTGGCACCCAGCTTGTTTTGTCTGTTGCACCTGCAGTGAACTTCTGGTAGACATGATCTATTTCTGGAAGAATGGTAACCTGTACTGTGGAAGACATTATTGTGATAGTGAAAAACCCCGCTGTGCTGGATGTGATGAGGTAGGAAATACCCTACTCCTTTGTTTTAGTATACAAGTTCGCTCCCCTGAGAAGTGAATATGATTTCTAGTAAAATATTTCAGTGCAGGGAGATGACATGCCTTCATCAGTTTTAGCTGATCATAGTTGCAAGGAACTGAAACTGATATGGACACTCTACATTCAGGAAGATCTATAGTTTGCTTTGGATTTGGTGGGAACTTTGTGCAGTCTACAGGGACACAGGATGTAATACATGAGTGCAAATTCTTCTGTGAAGTCCCAGTTATGCAGCTGTTTCCTCACGAAGGGCACTAGGGGGAGCGCCTTACTAAATTACACCTTGTGCAGCATACAGAGAACAGCCTGCCTGGTGTCTTTGGCATCTGTTGGCTCTTAATAAAGGAAATGGAGGCTTTTGGAAAACGGTGAAACAAGTGAATGCATTTGTTTTTGTTGATGAAATCATTTGAAACAGTAGAATTGCTAGGAGTTCCTTGAAATTACAAAACATCCTGAGGCTAGCTCTATTAAAAAGAAATACTACTCAAATGCATATATTAATATTTGTTTGTATCTTCCTCATAGCTAATATTCAGCAATGAATATACTCAAGCGGAAGGTCAAAACTGGCATCTGAAACACTTCTGCTGTTTTGACTGTGATTGTGTTTTGGCTGGGGAAATCTATGTAATGGTGAACGACAAGCCAGTCTGCAAACCCTGCTACGTGAAGAACCATGCTGCGGTAAGATCCTTCCACACATGTGGTGCTGTGAAGGAAGGGAATGTACATCTGTGGAGCTTGAAACTCTTACTTTCTCCCAGTGTGGGAGCATCTGAAGAGTATAAATCAAATGCAAGTTTAGGCTCAAGTCAACCATCTTTTTTCCTTTTGAAAAAAACCTTAAAAGCAGACAAGTATTTTGACAATTCATAAACTTGAACAAAAGCCACTGGTGGGGGGGAGGCTGTTCTGAAGATACCTTTGCCAGTGGTGAAGCAGGATTTTGTAACAGGAGGAGTAAAGTAGGTGAAGATGAGTAATGCTGCTAAACGTTTAGTTCGTGTCAATCTCAGTTCATTGTGACCAGTGGGATTCAACTTCAGCTGGTCTGCTAAAAGCCCGTAGTGGCAACTGCAATCTAGGTACTTTGTTTCTTTGTATTTCCAACTACATGAGTTATAAAGGAGAGTGACTGATGGGTTAAAGCTAGAAGTTTGGGTAAGGATGGTAGTTCTCAATTCCTAGTTATGCTAGGAACTCTAATCTGAGATGATGGTCCATTCGTATCTACCAATTAACGAGCTATTAGTTGGGAGTTCAGTCTAATGTGCATCTAGACTGTTTATATAGTTAATGGAGGGAAAAACTATTATCTCTAGCTGGCAGTTAATAATCTTCTGAGGTAGGTGTGAGGAATTATCTTTTGGAGAGGTTTTTCTTCTCTTAAAACATTAACTTCATTGAGATCTAAATGATAATTTCTGACAACCAGATTTTAAGATTAATTACATCCAAGACTTTCTAGTAACCTTTAATTCTTTGGCGTTGCTTTACAGCTGCCAACACAGGAAGATTTGTAACTAATCTCTTCAAATGTATGGGTTTCATATATTAAGTTCTGTGCTGTTTGGCACAAGTTTTTATCATTATTTGGGCATTGGGAAATCCTAACCATCATAACTGTCTAAGTTTAGTCCCAACAGCAACTAACTTCTTTTGTGCGTTTTATTATTTTGTTTTGTGTCCTCAGCTGCATTTTGGTCAGAAACTCTGCTTTAAAAATAGTCATAGAATCATTAAGGTTGGAAGAGACCTCTAAGATCGAGTCCAACCGTCAACCCAACACCACCATGCCCAC